TGTCTGCTTCATTGTGGAGACTGGTACATGAGTCCAATTTATGAGACATATGGGAAAGGCTTTCTTCTCTAAGTTGATTCATAAAGTTGATTTGTAAAGCTGATGGGCATTTCAGCAAATACAAACAACTCTGAATTTTAGTCACAGGGTGAAGTTTTAAGTAAAATGGTGGGAAGAAACACTAGTGATTTAACAAGTATTCATTTGATTTTGGCAATGCAAGGTTATTGGACAGCTGTTGTGTCAGCCAAAGCAATATTTACTGCATGACTTGTGTTCTTTATGAAATCTATCCCTTATTTTTGACTTCTGTCTCAAATAATGGGAAAAGCTGAGTGTGCTGTATTAGGAAGGGTCAGTGTCCCTTCCAGAGCATGTGTGTGCTGCATGGAATCACAGAATGGTCTGGGATAGAAGGAACTTTTAAAGGTCATCCAGTCCGACCCCTTAGCAACGAGGAGGGGCATCTTCATCAAGATCAGGTTGCTCAGAGCCCATCCTACCTGACCTTGAACGTTTCCAGGAATGGGCCATTGACCACCTCTCTGGGCAACCTGTTCCCATGTTTCAACACTCAGATTGTAAAAAGTTCTTCCCTTATATGTAGTCTGAATTTACCTTCTTTTGGGTAAAACCACTGTCTCTCATGTCACAACAGGCTAAACAGTCTGAACTCGGCTCTCTCACAAGCCTGCTTTAAGTACTGAAAGGCTGCTGTAAGGTCTCCCTGAAGCCTTCCCTTCTCCAGGCTGACCAAGCCCAGCTCTCTCAGCCTGTCTCCACAGGGAAAGTGTTCCAACCTTCTGATCAGGTCCATCAGGTCATGGCTTCCCTGTGCTGGGAGGCACTGGGGGAGCTGAGCCCGTTCAGTCTGGCACAGGGGAACTAAAGGCCAATCTCATTGCAGCCTGCACCTACTTGAAGGAAACTTGGAAAAGAGGTGGAATTAAACTTTTGTCCCTCCTGGCAGATGGTAAAAGAAGGGGTAACAGCTGCCAGCTGCAGTTTGGGAAGTTCAGAGTGGACATTAAGAAAAGTTTCTAGTGTGTGTTAGAACAAGTCTTATCTTCCTTTTGAAAGTTCTCCAGGATGAACCTGCAGCCAGCCCAGTGCTGAAGGCTCATTAAATAATTTTGTTTGGAGGGGACCTCCAGGGTCATCTATTCCAGACCTTTGCTCAGAGCTGGTCAAGCCAGGCAGGCTGCTGAGGGTCTCACCAAGTTTAGGTTTGTTCAGGGATGGAGAACCCGACTTCTCCCAGCAATGGGTGTCAGCATTTCCCCATCCTGATGGGAATTCTTTTTTCTGTGTATATATAAACAGAATTCCCCATGTTCTATCTTGTCTGTTGACTCATGCAATCTCTGTGCATTTATGAGAGAAATCTGACTTGAGCTTCTCTGCACCTTCCCTTTATTCCTTAGAGAGCTGTTGACAGCAATAAAGTGTCTCCTTCGTGTTGTTTTCTTGAGGCTGAACAAACCCAGCTCTCACAGCTGATCTCCTTTTCTGTCTTGCAGCAGCCCTCTGACAATCTTGGTTGCCTTCCACTGAACATGCTCTGGGGATGACAGAGTCTGTCCTGTACTGGGGATCCCCAGATGGGGCACAAAACCCTAAATGCAGCCTCAAAGGTGCAGAACAGAGGGTAAGAACCCCCTCCCTCTGCCTGATGGCTGCAGATCTGATAATGGGGCCTGAAATAGGGCTGGCCTTGGGTGCCACAAGGGCACTTTGCTGACTTGTGCTCAACTGGAGCTGGATTGTGATAGTCCCAACTTTCAGAGACATTGAATAAGGTCTTTCTAGAACCTGCCAACCTCTGTTCTAGGCTGTAGAGTGGTGTTGTCTGAGACTAAATTCCAGAAGTGCTCTTACTACTGCACCTTATAGAGGTGACAATGTCAGGCTTTCAGGGATAAAGGTTGTATCCTGAGCTTTTAGGGCTTTTAGGCCTTACTCAGCACAAGTATTGTTCTATGTTTCTGCTGTTCTAGGTTTGGAGGAGTTTTTTAGCAAGTATCACTACTTTGTGATTCCTTACTTCTGTGGAACCTGAAAACTATGGAAGAAATTGCTTCCTCCTGGAACAAGCCTGTCCAGTGCTCTCTTTTTCATATCTGATGTGGAAAATTGTCTCACTCAATGTGAATAGGATGACATTCGTTAAGGCTTTTGTAGATAAGATGATTTAAAGTTACACTGCTCTATAAAGAAACAGCATCTCTGTGGCTTGATAAAGTACATCCATGTATTAAATAGTTTCCTCTTATTTTGTTAAGGTGTTTCTGTATCACACAGTTAATAGCAGATAAAGACATACTGGGTGATTTAGTTCATCTTTTGCCCTGTGAAGTGTCTCAGCACTGCTGTGCTGTTATTCTGAGCCTCACCCAGGTTAGTTTTGATTGAATAGCAGACTGTGTTTTGGAGATCATGGTCTGGATACTTCTGAGCTGTTTGAGTCTCTTTAGCCCACAGATTTTGCTGTACTATTATAGAAATCTGACCTGAAGAATAAAACCTGACTGTCATATACTAACTTCCTATTCTGATACATTGCAGATTATTTAACCAGCTCACCTACTAGGTCTCCTATAAAAGTCAAAGATAAAATGATTTTGTTATTTAAAGCAGGAGACCTTTTTGTGTGCCTGTACTTGACTTGAAAAACTTTAGCTGTGCTATAACCATGTGAGATACCTATGTAAAGAGATAAGGGCTATCACCTTACTCCACAATGAACAGCACAGAAGGGAAAATAATCCTCAAGAAGCTGGAGCTGGACTGCCTATATGGTGAGACAGGTATGGTCATAACCTTAATTACAGTATTTTGCCAGCACAAGATCTAGCACAGCAGGGTTTTATGCCTATGATTGCTTCTTGTGGAACAGACTGACTGTTTCCCTTTCATTAGCTCTTGTAAAATTATCAGAAGCCCTCCTTCAATCTTCTCTTTGTGTGTTTGCTTTGGGGATTTAGAGTATGACAGAATTCACATTTGGCAGGGACATTCTGTCAGATCAAAAGGGTGCAGCTGGAAGGATAAAGGTCAAAGGAAATGATCAAATATGTAGATGTAGTTAAGGCAATTGCAGTGCTCGCTGATGGTGAGGGAGAGAAGGTCACTGGTATTGCTTGACTTTTGCCTTAGTTGGGGTCCTGTCAGTTTGTCTGATACAAAAGCACTTGCAGGACAGGGAATTAAACTGCGTGGAGCAGGAACAGAAATAGAAAGAATATTTTAAAAGCAGAGAGAGCAGCAAAGGTCAGCTTGACTCTGCACCTAAATTTGGCAGCTGGGTGCAGAGCTCAGTCTGTCAGACATCTGAAGAACTCATTTGTTTGTGGAGTTACCTGAGCTCTTGATTGACACTGTTACCTGATGCGTTCCTTTGCTGCTCTGTGCTCACTTTCAATGCACAGCATGCTATTTTTACACTTTTTAACACAGATGCAGGATTCTGTGGTTTTATAATAAGAGAGTAATAGAGGCTTTAAACAAAATTTTAAAAAGAGAAAAGTCTTCTTAACAGGGCAGAAAAAAAGGCATTGTTATTTCTAACTGGTCTTCAGCTGAGAATTCACTATAAAAATTTCTGAAGTCTGAGATGTATCTGTGGATAGTAGAGGGTAAAGATTTTTATCAATGTTTAGATGTGTCTTTTAAAGGTCAAGAAATGTCATAAGAAAAGATTGAAAGCACTTCATGTAAATTGTTCCTGGAACATATCCAAGTGGCGTTTATCTCCTGGCTTCAATTTATTTTTTTTTTAAGAGCTGTAGGAAGTAAAGCCACTTTTTCTCTACTTCATGAATGTGGAGAGAGGGAAAACCTAGGGTAGTGTAAAAGGACTTGGTGATACATGTTAGTTTAATTTTAGGTAGAATGCTGATGCATTCATGATAAAGGGATTCTGTCCATCTTTTGCTGGAGGTGACAACATGACACCAACAGCTGAGGAAGCTGAAAACATTTTTGGGGATAACCAAACCATGTTTTGGTGCCTCTGAGATCCATTGGAATATTGGGTAATTGAAAATGAAAGGCCTGAATCTTTCACACTTGGAATAAAATCTGTGAAGCTGACACACTCACATGTGAGTTAGAGAGGATAGGAAAACCAGAACAAACAAATTTAGTTGGAATGATTCCTTACCTGGATGTTCCTTCTGGTATTTAACTCTGTTCGTGCATTTATTTATGTTCTTGGTTCTCCAGAGATATGCTGTCTGTAGGGTTTCTAGAAATTGGCTTCTAGACTATGGTTTTGTTTGCTAGCCCTGGGACACTGGAGAGGAAGACAAGGAGGGGATGATATGGACTTAAGAAAACTGTTCACTAAAGTTAATGGACCTTGTAATGCATGAGGGAATATCTGTCAGCCTTGAGAAAAACATGAGCCCCAGAATATTCCTCTCATCTAGAAAGCTTGTGCAGGTGTAATGAACAGGTTCTTCACATGTTTTTCTGGAATTTTCCATAAAAGAGAAAGAGGAGAAGATGAGGTTCCCTCCTCTGCCCCTATTCCCATACTGGTACTTCTGACTGTTGGTGCTGGTACTTCTGTTAAAAAAGAGAAATTTGGAGTTTGTAAGAGGCCCTCGGTGCCCACCTCAGGAGAGCTGGGGTGGAGTTGCAACTTCATTTAATAAATAGAAACAAAGCTTCACTAACTCGTGTGTCATCACACACACAGTATTCATAGAAAGTGATGTAACTCTCATATTTGCAAATATGCAACTGTTTTCTGCTTTCTAGTTTGAAAAATTATTTTCAAGAGCTTGCTTCTATTTATAACAGCCAGAAGAATACTGAGGCTGTCAGCTGCTTGCTTCCCTTCCCATTTGCAGGGATGCGGTACACAAATTATAACTCGGTAATTGTGATTTCTGCTTGGAGCACTCTGAAAAATTACAGCCTAATTAAATAATTATGGCGGTTGCTTATTCTTTTTTCTTTCCCTTTTTTTTTTTTTTTTGAATGCATATTTGCAGCTGAGAGTTTCAAGGAAGCCCAGATGGTGAAGATAAAGGAGGAGCCGATGGAAGTTGACATCCAGGACTCGCAGGCTTCAGTGTCGCCCAGGCAGAGCGGTGGCTACAGCACTTTGCTGGGGCGCGACCAGAAGGCACCTGAGGGCCGTGTGCTGCCAGACAGAAACCTCTTCAGCCAGGACATATCAGTGAAGATGGCATCTGAGCTGCTCTTCCAGCTATCAGGTAAACCTAGTGCAAACTGCTCCGTAGTCGGAGTTAAAAGAGCAAAATCAGATTTTTTTTGTGTGACCCCAAAGTTCTATGAAACTGTGAGATCACCGGGGCTGAAAGCTAATAGGAACCTTCCAACCCTCACACTTGAAACACAGAGGCCTTGCCAAATATCCCCCATAGTCTGCATTATGCTTTAAAGCACTGTGGCAGCCAGGTCAGGCTCACAGTATTTCAGCTGAGTTGGAAAAGCCAGAGTTCAGCTCCTGTATTTTTGAAAGCTAATTAAATAATTTGTGACGACTGCTTTGATCCCTGTAGAGGGGAATCTGCAGATGGCAGTTCTAGCCTAAGTGGCCATGGCTGCAGGATTCAGCACTCCTGGGGCTGCACTGCCCACTTCCCTTGGCAAAGAAGGTGAAGCTCATCTGTCACACAAAGGCAGTGGGACCAATGAACACTTGCATTGCACGCTCTGCATGGAGCTCTAACACTGACATGCGGAGCTGAAAAAATTTGTTGGGTGTAAATTTAAATAAAGTCATGCCCATTCTCTAATAATGCTGGAACCATTTACCCTAAATTACCCTGGGTTATGCTGTTACCTGAAAGCATTAAAATAGTTCTGCTGAATAAAATTTGATAGAGAACATATGGCATATGCTAACCACAAAACTCATGTGTGTTTCTCTGCAGAAAAGGTGAGCAAAGAGCATAACCACAATAAAGATAACACCATCAGAACTACAGCCAGGTGAGTACAGCCCATGGTTACAGCTGCACTGTAAATAGCATTGCCTCCTTTTGCCTTGTGAACTCAAACCTGTCTCCAGCAAACATGACCTGATAGTACAAATATAAGATACTTCCATGAGTAATGGAGGCTATATCTGAAAAACTACAACTATAGATCTGATTGTTTAGGGTTGATATGTCAAAAAGCCCAGTGGCTTTTGTCTGTTCTCCTCTGATCAACACATCATTTTAAGAATTATTTATTCTATTTTTTTCAACAAAAACTGAAGCTTACAAGAAACTGCATGGTACATGCAGTGCTTGAGGGAAGACCAGGGTGACAACTGGATTTTAAGACGTGGACCAATGTAAGAAGAGATGACTTTGATTGTTTTATGTCTAGCTAGATTTCTTTAGAAAAATTTCAATTTATTATTTCTGTATTCTCAATACATTCTAGAGATGAATTTTTTAAAGTTAGACTGTAAGACAGTGCTAACAAGATGTGTTAAAGATTACAGTTACAGTATTACAATAATTTAAATTAAGCAGGAGTTAAATACATGATCCTGTGCTGTTAAAGAAATGTGCATTTTACAGCACTGTGGCTGGGAACAAGCCCACAAGGTGTTTATGTGTCCATGAGCAGCAAGGTGAAGTGTCCCTGTGGGAAGATTTAAAGTTCTTATGCAGTAAGTGGTATCTGCAATTGGTAAAGACTTAGGAGCCCTTGGTAGGGTAGGAGGAGTAGGCAGGAATTGACAAGGATATATTTCCTACCTGAAAGTTCCCTAATTGTTGTGGATGGGTTGGAGACTGAGCACACTGAAGTGATGAAGAGTTCATTCAAAGATGGAGTAAGAGCTTCTTGCCTCTGCAGCCCCTTTACAGAAGTTCTCGGTGCTAACTTATAACAACTTTGCCCAGACAGAATGGAAAAGCATTTCAGTTGCAAAGAAAAGGTCTCTGAAATACACTGTACTTAAATTTCTAGGCCTATCCAATTCATTCATGGTAGCTGCAATAAATAACTTGTTTTTAATAAACTGACCAGCTCAGTAAATGTACATTAGGGACTTTTTGATGCTACAAGTTGAAAGATAATTCAATTGAGCTTTTGGCTTCTGGTTACAGTGAATGCTTCCCATATTTGCTAGTGTGGGAATTTGTCAGATATGCAGCCTGCTCAGCCTTTCTGTGCTGCTTAAAAAGCAGAAGCCTGAGACACCAACAGAGACAAATGCACATATTGTCCAACTACTCATTAACCATCCAGGGTGCACTGCAGGGACGGGCTGACAAATAGTTGAAAATAGATTTCAGTGTCTCATGATGTTACCAGCAGGACTGGTGTGAGAATCCAGAGCTACTTTTGGATCTATCAAAGATAATCCCAATTGGAAAGGTTGAGGACAGTTCAAAGATAACTTGCCCTTCTTTTGGCTGCCAACTTTTAAGAGGATAGCACAGTTGGCTGTTGTCAAACTTGTGTTGAGCTTTACTGAGACGTCCTTACAGTGGCTGCTACCCATCAGGGCATGAAATGCTGAGTGCCTGGTTCAGTTTCTCTGGGTGCTTTTCTTATCTTGCCTATTTATCAGCAGAAGAAGACATGAATGAGGAGATCTTCTTAAAGAGGGGAAGTGAGTCAGTCTACTAAATCCTGCGAGTTCAAAGAGATTGACTTGAAAGACCTTGCCAAAAAAAACCAAACCAACCCACCCCAAACCAAATAAACAGCTGCAAGTCTTTACTGTTGAGGGTATGACGCCTTCTCAAAAATAGAATGTGATGGAGCAGCCAGTGGAGGATAGAGGCACTTGGACTGCATTAAGAAAACATGTGGCATTGCAGTTTGGCTCACCAACCCACATCTGGAGTAATGACAGAAAGGCATTTGGATCACAATTGCTGTGTGAAATGTGCTGACAGCTGCAGAGAGCCAAGGTGAGGTCAGTGTTGTCCACCTGTGAGTAGCTGGGAAGCACAAAGATTTAGCTGTGTCACTGCTGAGGCTTAAATCAGCAAACCCCAGCAAGATGGGTACAAAAGCACTTCTTGCTACCTTATTCCTTATTAGCATTTCTAACTGTCCCCTATCTGTTGCTGTTCCTCCTGTGAGTATTCTGGACTTTGCCAGCATATACTTCCATATGACTTTGCTTAAGCAGCTGGAACTGGCAAGGATTCCTCACAGTTCAGTGGCTGAGTGAGATGGTAGAGCCTGCCATCTGTGATGAGAAGACAGAAAGTGGAGAAGCAAGTGATCTGGAAGTGAGTATGCCAGCATAAGATGCCAAGATAAGTTTCTTTCATGTAGAGAACTGTGTAGCCATGAAACTGGAAAAGTGCAGCCAGAGGAAAAATAAAAAATATCCTAAAGTTTAACCTTCATCAGAAAGGACTTTGCACAGTGATTGAGGACAATGTGTAATTTCTTGCTAAGAAGCAGGAGCTCCTCCCTCCACACTTTGCACTGGGAATCTGAGGACAGATCTGCTGGAATAGAAATAACAATAGGGCCTCCTCTGAAGAGACTGCTGCCATTCTAGAGGAAGGCAGAGAAGACGTATCCAAGAATGGTTCTGTAATTTACCAGAGGCCAGTGAAGGAGAGGGAAATCCTTGGGATATGACATGATGTGGCCTTCAACAGCACCTGCTCATGATCTATGGCCTGACCTGAAATAGATAAACCCTGCACCATCCATTTTGCTTAGAAGCAGCAGTGAGCAGTGTCCCAGTGACTGAATCTAAGACACAAGCAGGAACATGGAAACCCAAGTGGATTACAAGATTTTGAAGAGTTACAATAGTAATAAAACATTTTTTTATTGCTGTTTTTCTTTGAGATCATTATTAAACCAGTGAGAGGAATGTTGTAATAAATCGTGGTGTATTTTTATACAGTGTCAGTCTGTTTTGTATTATGTCACCCCTGAGTGGAGTGTGAGTCTTGGAAGAAGTTAAGTTTTGCACATGTGTGTTGGAGCTGTTTTGGTTTATCCTGGTCACTTGTTTTCTGGAGTATCCTGCGTTGTTCAGATATTGGCGTTCACCAAACTCTTCAGGTTTGGGGCAACTTCACTCCTTCCCCTTCAGCACAGTCTAATGCTGACTGCTTATGGATGTGTTCAGACTTTTGTAGAAATACCAAAATACCCCATTAACTGTCAAATATGGAACAGCACAAAATGAATAGTGTCCAAAAAACTTAATAGGAAAGTAAAACAACGTGGTTGCCAACAGTGTTTCACAATCAAGTCAACGAATTACCAAGTTTCCCTGAGGCAGAAGAGATCTGACTAAGAATACAAGTGACTTGGTGGAGACACCTTGTTCACTCTCTGAAAAACTGCATGAGGGAAAGCACAGCAGGCAGGTGATGCCTTTTGGACAGAAACTTTGGGTACCTGGACTGGTGAGGTCAGCTTGGTGCAGCTGGCACGTACTTTAAGTCTGGACTCCCTGCTGTGCAGCACCTTGTAAGGCCTCATAGTAGGTCCTTTATCCTGAAAAGATTCTTGGATTTTATTCCTGAGTAAGAAAAGGCTGCAGAAATAGCCTGGCCTCCTGTTCTGCACCTTTAAAATACCCACTGTACTCCAGCCTGTTAAGGATTCTCAGTCTGGGAGAGATCAGATTTAAAGTGATTCTCTCTTTGCTTGGAAGAAATTGATAGTTTGCATGCAGGTGGAATACACTCCCGTAGAAAGCATTTTTCCAAGAAAGACTGCAGTTTTCAATTTTGAATGTTTTTATGTACCTCTTGCTGATGTCTATCTGTACTGCAGACAAGGAATTCTTATTTCTGTTATGAGCTTTAATTGAGCAGAAATCAAATACTTTGACAGAGGTGTCATCTCATTGTTGAAATTAACTTTTTAACTTTGCCTGTTAATTAAAACTAAAGCAAAATATTCTTTTTGGAATCATGTAGCTGGTAATTTTTGTGCTTTGTGCTCTTTGGGCTACACCTGTTCAATGTATGAATTGTTTCCTGCTTTAAAAATCAAATTCATGGAGGCAGTTTCATTCATGGAAGGCCATGTCAGAATAGAACTATTCGGCATCTTAACCGAATATTTGAAAAGTTTTGTTTTAAAGATGACTACTGCATGCTTCAGATTATTAAATAATAACATTTTTACCTTTTCTGATTGCCTTCTCCAGATATGACAATGGAATGCAAATTTTTGAAGTGTTAGTTTTAATGATTTATATTGTATTGCCCTATAGCAAATGTGAGATGTTGAAATGTAGCAAAAAGCCTTTTGTTAGGTCTTCACTTTTCACTCTGAAATGCAATTTTACTAAAGCATGTTGCCTCATGGTCTGCCTATTTTTCAGCATGAATTCTCTAAGTAAAACTGTTTCTTTAACAAGATGGTATTTCTTACAATATTAAGATGTTGAGGTCAAAATTCATATTTACTTCTTCTTCTGTTCACTGCTGTTTTGTTTTAAAAAGGCATCTTGTTTTTTCCTATAGCCCTTTCTTTTCTGAAGACACATTTAGACAATCACCATTCACTTCCAACTCAAAAGATCTCCTGCCCAACGAGACTGCTCTTCATGGAAGGACATCTGCACCAGGTCAGATACCTTTTTCTTTCATTGCTTCCAGTTAACAGATATTTTTTACATTTTCTTACTGTAAACTCCACCACCTGACCAATGCTCTTAAAATATGGTTTGCTTTGTCAAAAGGTAGCTATTTCTCCATCATAATAAGTGCTGATTATTTAGAAGAAAAAGAGAAAAGTTAAATATTGCTGGAGCATTTGTGTTAATAGTCTTTAGGCTGCTGTTTCTATGAATTGTGCAATAGTCTATAGCAGTTTAAATTTAGCAATATCAACAGAGTTGAGGGGTTTTTTTCTGTGTCTGCTGCTGTACTGATGCTGAATTACTGTGTGCTATTCTCCTGTTCCTGTGGGTATTCTCTGTGCTATTCTCCTGTTCCTGGCCATTTCCATCTCTATCTCTGGAGTACAGATGAAACATTTGCAGGACATGTACTGGGGTGGCTGAGCTTGGCAATACAATTTTCCTGCCTTTAGCAGTAATTTAGAACCTTTCTGGAAGGATGTGGGGTTCTTCAAATGTACCGAAAGGCCACAGCGTCTGTGGGTGCCTTCCCACTGATTTTCTGAACTGGTTGACAGGCATTTTATGTCCAGATACAGCTTGGGTTATATTCTGCATTAAAATGGAAAATACAGGCATGTAATAATACTATTCAAGGTCGCACTGAACACATGCAAAAACTTGATATGTGCCTTCACTATCCTGCTGCAAAATAACTCGTTTGCTAGTTCACTGCTATCTGTTCTTAAATTAATAGCTCTGGGGTTCTAAAGGTCAGTAATTACACAGTCAGCTGTAGGGGGGGTTATTCACCTTTTCTTAGCAATCAATAAACTTTTGGGCACGTTACTGCTAATTTTCAGCTATAGACTGTCATTTAATTTACAATTTAACAGACCCTTCATTTTTTTTAATGCTTGAATAGTCATTTGACAGCTTGCAAAGTGGCAGATGAGGGTAAGAGCTAGATGCTGTCTAAGGGTAAATATGCATAGCAAAAAGAAAAAAAAATGTAGGATAAGGACAAGGGTCTCCAGGCTGTGCACAGACACACTTCTGCAAGGAAACAGTGGATTCTGTACCTCCAGATGAGGAGAACCAGATCAGGTGTGGTGCTTTTAAGTATTAAAATGTAAACCAGGTTAGCCCTTTCAATCCTGGCTTTTGACCTTGGCATAACATGGAATATTCATATGCCCAGAAGAAAGATGAGAATTCACAGACTCCTCAGGCAGGGCTCAATACCTCAGAGGACACAGCCTCCAGCAGCAAGAGTCTGACATCATACCCAGATAAATGCAGAAGAATTTCAATTCTCTCTAAGACTTCACTTTCAGCGAGGCCACAGAAGTATGAGTGGGTTTTGGTGACATGTTTGATCTTCTGCTTAAATGATGTAAAGTATCTTGTTGGTTAGATCATCCTGGATGTTAGAAAGGCTTCTGAGGAACTGGGTTTTCATATGTTTATGCTGCTCCATAATCTGTTTTGTGGAACCTTGATAGGTCTGTGTATTATAATACATTTTGCTCTGTGGTTATAAGAGTGATATATAATAGTAGCAAGTATACTGAAAATTTTTAAACGCCAGTTTCTGCTACTTTTTTTTTAAACAACTCTTATAATTCCAATTTTGAGGTTTTTTCAGCTTCACAACAAATTCTTGGGCCTGAAGTGCAACTTCACAGTAGCACCAAGAATGTGATTTAAATTTGTGATCAATTACAAATATTATATTCATGTAAAAGAGCAACAGAATCCCCACAGGTAGACTTCCTATTAGTTTCAGCCTTGCAAGAAGAAATAGCCTTTGTACTGCTATGGATAGCTCTGAAAACATTTTATCCCTTCAGAGAGCAGCATTAAGGAACAGAAACAAACCATTGTGCAAGGCCTACCGAAAGCATTACAGAAAATGCTGTGGAAGTGTGTATGTGGTCTCCCAAATAAAAATGCTTTTGCTTGAGATTCGTTTTGTGTTACTCCATCCCTGAAACAGGACAGTAAGAAGTAGAAAAGAGCAGCACAATGAAGTGATAGGCAATTCCCAGGCCAGTGGGACCCCACATGCGCGGTTGCCGCTGCTCAGGTTAGCACCCAAATGATCCCCGTGTCCCCAGACTCCTGCCAACTTTCTGTCTGCAGCCTTTGTGGCACCCTAGCTGCAGAGGAATTGGGAAAAGTGACAGGAACATAGGACAGTAAGATATTTCATGTGTCAAATTCAATTCTTTTCTGTACTAAGTAACATTATGCAGTCTTATTCATTACCAAGCTCCATCTTAAACCCCATCATCCTTATTATTTTTATGAGGATGCTGTTTGAGAAGCTCACCCCTTTGAAGAACTGGGACCACTCTCTTTCCAGCCTGAATTTATTCACAGCAAGTGCTACTTGTGTTATCTCACCAGTGCCATCCTTCAGCTTTGATAATTCTTCTTCCTTGAGATGTTCACCATCTGATGTGCCATTCCTTGCATTCCTCTAATCCTGCCTTCATTTTGGGAAAGTGAGCCAGCCAGTCTTTTGGGTTTTAGAAACAACAGGGTTTCCATTTCCTAGCCTTTTTCTGCTTCTGTTTAGGGGCATTAATTTCTGCAAATATGAGTAGTCAGAGCTATATGTGCTCTTTCATAGGAGGTTTTATCCCTGACTTTTTCAGCAGCCTGCAATCTTCTGAGTGCATATTGGAAATGCCTCTCCTGATTAATCACAGCTTTGTAACTAGAACATGCTGGTGTCTCTCTTGCTGGTCAAATAGTAACATGCTTTTCTTTTCCTTTATAATTTCAGCTGATGATTTCAGCATGCAACAGAAATTCTTGTTTCTACACTCTTAGGCATATGACCTTGTAATTTAAATTGTTTCACTTGTTATTCTAGCTCTCGAGATGATTTCTTTAGTACTCTGAAATTTCTGCATATTGATATTGCTTCCATTAATGCAGTTCTGGTTTGTTTGGGGGTTTTGTGTGTGTGTGTTGAAGCTATTAAAGAGGATTTTTAAGTACAATGGGTCCAAAGTTCAGTCCTTGAGACTTAAGCTTAGTGGCCCCCTCATCACAAACCACTTCACTTTATTGCCAGTTTATAAGAAAATTGCAAATTCAGGTCTCTAAGTGGCAGAGCACTCTTTGTAGGGCATTGAGTAGATAAGATCCCCCAAGGAGTAGGAAATAATTAGGAAAGAATATTAAAAGATGTGTGAATGCAATGCACTGATCAGGGTATTTAGTGGAGGGGAAAAATCCTAAATAAATAATGATATTGTGATGGATTTGGCCTGAAAAAGGGTGGAGGATTCCTAATCAGCAGCAGTATCACAGGCAGGAGAGTTGATTTTTATTCAGATATCCAAGGAACCAACAATGAAATCTCCACCAGTAGTCAGGAAGGGACTCATCAGACCCACAGAAGTCATGGTATCTCCCTGATAATCTGTGGTGAATTCCTAATACTCTGAGAAGGGAAGCCAGAGTTTTCTAGGGTATGTAGTTCAAATTTACTGGTTAGATTTGGGAAATTGATTCTCTCACCTTTTAAGGTATTTTCTACATCAATAACCATGTTATTACATTGCACTTTTCTGTATTAATTTTACTGTCCAAATAACTTCATTTTTACTCAAAAATGGAAATAAAATAGTTTTGATATCTACATCAGCCAAACACACTTTGCTCAAAAGTTACCATGTATCAAAGTAATATCTATTACAAAGTCATATCCAAACCAATGCAATCATTTCAGCTGCTCCCTGTAAGAATGTGGCCTCTTTTAATCTAGCAAAAGGTAGGGATAAGAAATTAAAATTTTTATGTCAAACAGTCACTTTAAAAAAGGACATTTTCATCTTCTGTTTTATAAGATTCTTCTTTTGACAGAATAGCTTTATGTCAGACTATAGAGTTCAGTTCAGATCACTGGATAAATTAAAAACTTGATCTTATGCTGCTTTTCCTGACCCTTAGTCAGTCTTTAATGTACTTTAATAGTTTTCCACCATCTCATTGACTCATTCTGTAAATCAAACCTGCCTTCATGGAAGCCTGATGAGTGATATTCACTATTCCTTTTCTGGATGGTTCATTAATATTGGTGAAAACCTCAACCATGGCTTTTTGGGATTTTTTTCTCCATGTATATCTATCTGTGTGTAGTATAATAATATTTCATTATTTTCTCTTCTGTTTATCAAGGACCTGGTATTCTCCTTCGTTTCCATTAACAGTGCCAAATATTGAAATAATCCCATCTGTAGTGGATTAATTTTTTTTAAATCCATTTTTTTGTGAGAATTTAGTACCACTTGCAACATTGGAATTTTGATGGTGGTAAATTAATTTCACATGGCTAAAATAAACTTTTGGAACTGGAGGACGTAGGTCTTAGGGAGTTGTAGACCAGGAATAGTTCTCTCTTTTTAAATTTTGCCACAGCCTTATTTACTGGGTGTTGGGTTGTTTCAGTGAGATAAAGCCAGTAAAGCTCCAGTCCCCTTTTGAAATGCATCAGAGCCTCCTCTGCCATGTGTGTCCACGCTCTGCACTGACCTGTAGGATCACAGACAGGATGTGCTTCCTCTTCAGGATTGTCCAGAATCAGTAGCATGGTATAAATTTGGAATCATAGTGCAAAAATTTTGAGTTTTGGCAGTGTCAGTTTTTGTTTTATTGATAATGAAATTAGTGGGATCAGCCCATTTTTATGTTTATGGATCTAAGGTAATATGTGGAACAGAGATTCCAGTATGTTTGGAACTGCAGGGCTATTCTGCAAATGTGCAGGTTTCTCCTGTTCCTGTTCATACTCACTCTGGCCTGTTCTCTAGATCAGTAATTCCACTGTAACTTCAGTAACACTGCAAGGTGAAAACCTGCCTGCTCCCACACCTGAGTGTGCCTCACCTCTGCACACTCTGCTCACAGCAGCACTAACCAACCCCTGTGTGGCCACAGCAGGGCAAGTAGGGAGCTAATCTCCTTTTCTCACTGGTAGTTTGTGGGAA